AATGTGGTAACCTGTCAGTTCATGTATATGTATCTTTGGCTTACACAATGTTTTTCAATTTTGCAACCAACATTTTAAAATTGATAAAACTTCCCTGGCCAGTGTGGCTCAGTTTGTCAGAGCGTCATCCCATACACAGAAGGATCGCGGGTTTGATTCCTGGTCAGGGCACATACCAAGGTTGTGAGTTTGATTAATTTCAAATATACACATGAAAAAGAATGTAATCTCCCAAAATGTTATGCCTGGCTGTATTAGAGTCATAGTATTATGGTTAGATTTTTTTTTTCTATATTAAAATGTTCTGCATGATCTTTATATTTTAAAAGTACAAAATATATGACCTTTCAGCAAATGCCCAGTCTTTTAGTAAATATCAGTGACTTTCAGCCATTAGAAGAGAAAGGTGAAGGCCACATGTCTCCTCCCCCATAATCTTGCAGCCAGGTGCTATATTACGATGAAAGTGAGTCTTAGCCCAAATCTTCTAAGCACACAGCACTTATTAGCCAAGAATGACACATCCGCTTCTTTTCTCAGGACCTACAATATTGAAATAAAAATGTGAAGGAAACTTGAGTGACAGTTTCATTCTTAGGCAGACACACCTATATTCCAGTAACAAAATCAGACAACACAGTGTCAGGTCTGTGAAGCAGGCAAAGGAGAGACGGAGCTCGAGGCCTTGACGCTGCTGGGTTTAACAGGTTCCTAACACCTTCTTTCTGCAAAGATGATGGAGGACGGTCTAACCACTAATCTTGACTACCACTCATTTCATAGATGGAAAATTATCCCTAACGCCCTTTATGCAGCTTAACGAACCTTCTGATGTCAGTTTTGATAAAGATAATGAAAATGATTAAGCAACCATCTTTGTCCAGTGGACTGATTAGGAAACTTCCAATCCTGCATGTCTCTAGGATGTATGACAAAGTTTACTCATCCACTTCATACCACTAGTTCTGAAAAAATTCTAAGTTGCTATTAAAAACTACAGCTGTTGGTTTTTGAAGAAGTAATGATCTAAAGGTCTATGCTTTATCGAGCTATTATGTGTCATAATTTGATTTTTGTTTTTATAACACTGTTCTTTCTCACTAAATACTTAGAATATAGATGAGTAGCAAAATTGGATAAACCCCACGTAGTTGCTAAATGATGGAAGGGTAAGGCTCAAACTAAGACCCATTTCCCTGACTCAGTTCCCTAAAACCCAGCCTTCTAAACCCATGTTAAGGGACTTGAAAATTGAAAAACTGAGATGCCAAGTGTCCTTTGCAGTGTGTTAACACAGAATATGGAGCCCTGGCCAGGTAGCTCAGTTGGTTAGAGCATCGTCCCAATAGCTAAGATTATGGGTTCAATTCCTGGTCAGGGCACATACAAGAATCAAGCAATGAATGCATAAATAAGTGGGACAACACCTCTCTCTCTCTTCCTTTCTAAGTCAATCAATGAATAAAAACAGAGTGTGGAATAATGCTCTGGAAGTAAGTAATAACACTTTTTAAAACACTGTAAACACAGTGTCCAAAGTGGCTGGCCATTTTCACTCTGAACATGGTAGTGATTTGGAAATTGAATATACTCTTTTCAATGCAACTTAAATTTATACACATTTCTTGTGATATTAGTGCAATAGAAAATGATCTGAGGAAGTGAATAAATGCATTAACCCAATGGGGAAAATAGCCAGGTTTATGCCAGCTAGTTTTCATAGCAGCTAGAGTGGTAAATTAAGTGGAATTATGATCGGGACCAACATTCCCGCATCCTTTAGGTCTTTAAGGGTAGCACTAATTTCTGCCATCTCCCTGGGATGCAGTACTGATTGTGGTTTACCGTCTTGGCCAGAAGGTGGAGCAGTTTCAGAGACTTCCACTTAGCTTTCCCATCAAGACAGTTTTTAACCCAGAGGCCAGGAAATGAATGGTGGTTGTGACAAGTCCCAAATATGTTCAGCTCAATCATTTATTCTGGAAGTGGGGAGATGATCATTGATTGGACAGATCCATGGACTCAATGGATCTACGGTTAGTCCTGAGATATGACTCCACTTATTATCTGGATCCCATATGCCCCCTTCTAAAAGGCACTCTGTGGTGACACTCTTGTCACTGAGTACCAATCTCAGCTTGGACCATGTATCCCATGTCCTCAGAGTGTTTGCATCCACTCTTTTCCCCAAGTTATCCAAATAAACAACCATAGGTCCTTTTGAGAAAGGGGAATCACTGCCGTGTACACTTGCAGTGGGGTTGCAAAGCCCTCCTTTTTGGAGACCAGCCTTTCCTTCATTCAGTAGTTTCTGTATCTAGAAACTTGGCAAGAGAACATACCTTTGTATTAGGGTGGCTGTGTCCCATCTGTCTCCTGGTCATCTATCCATCCTTGAGATCTTTTGATGAAATAGCTTGGACAATACTCTTATTGGCTATCTGTCTATTTTGTCCCTAGAAATGCCACGTTCTATTACCTGTCTCCAAACCTCTCTGCAGGGACCCGTCAGACCTAACCGCGCATTATAATTGTGCCCACTATACCTGTGCCAGTGAAACACGGCCACTGGGCCCCTATTCTTCCATCCCTGTTGTTACCAGTGAGCCCACTTCTGGAATAGCATCCGGCTCACAGGGCTACCCTGAGCTTCTCAGTGCTGCAGTCGCCCTCACCAATGAGTTCCTTCTCATCTTGGTCAGTGTCCACTGTGCCTTCCTGAGTGCCCCCTTTAAAAAAAACATAAATAGTTTACAATTTGCTGCAATAACATCCATTAATAGGAAATCAGATGTTGGATCTGCTAATTATAGATTTTCCCCTTGGAATACATTAAAATAAATATTAATATAAAAATTCCTATCCATCTACCACCTAAAATCACCCCGCACTCACAGATGAACCTTTGAGAAGCACTACAGTAGTCAACTGGGAGGCATCTGTGGGTCCTCCCGGCTGAGCACCTTGTGACTTCCAAAGTGGTCACTCAGTCACCCTTGAGCCTCTCTCAGGTACTGCAGTGTCCAGAAAACTTGAGCACAGGTCTGCCCCTTGACTGGCTTTAGAGTGAGGGGAGGTCCTGAAACCCATCTGTCTCTCAGTTTCTTCTCCCATTAGCTTAAAGTGAACATGGAAAGAATATCTGTTCCTTCTTATTTCGCGGAGATATAACACACATCCAGCTGAAAAGTAAATACAGAAACCTCTTAATTCCTGGCAAGAAAAACTTCCTGGATAATTCCATATATTTTTATAATCATAGAAGCAACCTTCTCTTTATTCACTACCAAAAATAAAGACTATGGTTATAATTTTTTCTCTGTAGATGCAAACAAGCTCATCTATTTTGACATCAAAACGGCACAAAGACAAAACACAAATTCCAAGGACAGAGATGAAAACAATACAATTTTCTATTTTTTAAATTTGTTTTTATTTTGTTTGTCTATTGCACTGTTTATACGTATATCTTGCAAGAGCCCACGAAAGTGAGGGAGAATATCTGCAGGTTAATTTTAAACACTATGAGGGGGATTAGGCACTAAATATAAAAAATAAGACTTTTAGCTTACTAAAGTAGGAAAAGTTTTCCTGAAACATGACAGTTAAATTGGTCTGCAATGCATTAATAAATGGAGAACATGGATCTCTTCTAACAAATAATTTAAACATTGTGTGCACTACCAAAGAAACTAGTCAGCATATGAATCTTTTCAAGTCACAGTTCCCAGAAATGGAATAAAAACAAGTTACCTTTGAACCTAAGGTCAGAAGAGCAAAATCCGTAAAAGTAACAATATTGCCATTGTTCTCAGCAATCTATTCATGAATCCTACAAGTTCTGAAAGTCTTTTCAATAAAATGAACCCTGATTTCTTGGCAAGCTCCTTGCTTAAGGGGCAAATAACTTTGGAAGCTGGACTTCTCAATCTGTGGACAGGAGTGAGCTGTACTGCCAGTGCTGCTCCACTTTGAAAATCATCTTCAGAATGAAAGTCCAGCAGTGACCTTCTTAAGTGCGACACGGTCTGCAGAGACGCAAGACGGCATGAGAGGTCCCTGGGCAAGTGCAACTCTCAGCCGATAAGCTGGAAACAGATTAAAGAGAAGGAAGTAGAGGCCAAACGTTTCTGTTCATAGATGCCATGCTGGGTAAAATATCAAGGGCTTTGGGATTAGAAGTGGCCAATGTGCAAAAAGAAGGAAACCAGATGCCAGCAACGCCGAGAATTTAAGATGCTTGTACCACACCTGGAGAGAGTTTCTTATATGTAGCTGCAGGATGCTCTGCTTGGGATCATTCTATTTGGAACTCACAGCTGAGCAGCACTCACAGACATTTCTATTATCTGGTACATCTGTATTTCTAAATAATTATTACTGACACTAAGAATGATGCTTCTGACACCCTCCACGGTTCTTTCAAATTAAAGAAAGGTCACATAGTGCCTGGTATTATTTTGGTGTTAGCCTATATATATAACAATTATTTAAGAACTGGTAATCCATATGGGCTCAGAGTTCTCGCCATTAATCTTATTGTTTGATTAACTAGAATACCCATTCTCCCAATAAGATTTATGATTAAGAATTATTGTACAACCAAAACCAGAATGAGGACAATGGAGTTCTCAGAATCCAATCACCTGTGATGAAACATCCCACTGACTAGCTCTTTGATGCAAGATCACCAGGATGTCTCAAGGCAACCTGAACATCTCACAGGGTAAAGTCCTCATGAAGACCAGATCTCCAAATCCTTAGACTTTTGTAGGATTCGGAGTCATATTTCACTTAGTTAGCCCTCTATATGCTCTTTTTTTTTTTTTTAATATATCTTTATTGGTTTCAGAGAGGAAGAGAGAAGGAAAGACAGATATAGAAACATCAATGATGAGAGAGAGTCATTGATCGGCTGCCTCCTGCACGCCCCCTGAGGATCAAACCCACAACCCAGGCATGTGCCCTGACCAGGAACTGAACCGCGATCTCCTGGATCCTAGGTCGATGCTCAACCGCTGAACCACGCCAGCCGGGCTATGTGTTCACTCTTATCTGCAATCATTTGTCCAGCTTTGGTTGGCTGTTGAGTTCCAGTGGAAGAATCCAATTCTGCCTCCCAGCCTCGCCTCTAGGGGCTTGGAAGTGGAAGGCAGTGCAGTTCTCTCTGGCCATCTGCCAGGCAGGGCAGCCCAGGCTTCTTGGGGTAAGTTTGACGGGCAATTTTAAAGAACTCTTCTGCAGCATCGAGAGCAATGAGACGGTCCTGCCAAGAAATTAAATACAAAAATGTTGTCAAGATGGGGAACCAAGCCCTGTCAATGGGAAAACCAGTCTAACAACAACAAAACCTGTCGTGGAAGTAATGAGGAAACAATTATTAAATTTTTCTCAACAAATTTAGAGACATGCCTTAATCCTTTACTTACATTATCCAAGAAGCATCCTTTTAAATTCTTCATCAATCTTAGGTTATATAAACAACATTTCTCATATCTCTGACCTCCAAAGCTGACTACACAGCAGAATCGGCTGAAAAATACAGATTCTTGAGCCTCAATCCAGAAATCTGAATCTTAAAGCCCTCCAGGTGACTCATGATGCTGGCCATTGATGCCAACACCATCTGCTACCTCATATTGTGGTGTTGCTGGTGGTGTTAGAATGAGGAATATATGGAATAGAAAAGCAAAAATTGAAAGCAAAATCAGGGCAGATGGAAAAATGCATCCACTTACCACCACAAAGAGATATCTCTCGGAGAGCTCCCAGCCTGTTGGGAAAATAGCAGTCTCTTCAGCTAGTTTTAACAAGATCTCTCGAGCTTTCCTTGTGTTTTTAGAATCACTGACAGTGCTGAGTTTCGTCACTGACAACAAAGAGTCCACTTCCTTTTGAAAACCTAAGGTAAGAAAAATGTACCCGTCATGTAAGTAGTCACACAGAGTGACTGTCCTGCAACAGGGTCCCTGCAGGAGATGGAGGAACCCAAATGTGGATTCTAAACAAACATCAGAAAACTGAAGCCAAAGGCACCACTCCATGGGCTGCCTTCCAGCTCAGGGTGACTGGCCTTTCACTAAAATTTGGTTGATATTTCTTCTTGTTTAATTTTCTTTGTTAACTCTTTCCGCCAAGTTAAGCCTCAGATACTCATCCACTGACTGCTTGTTGCCTTTGTTTTGGTTTGAAACCCTCCCAGTCCCTACTCTTCACCGCCTCCCCGGCCCCGAGAATTTCCACCTGCCTCTGCAGCCTGGAAGCCAAAAAGCGGTCACTTCCAGGTTCCTCCTTCTCCAAGCCCAGATTCTCTTCCCCGGGGCAATGTGGTTGGCTGGTTAAAATTACGTACCCAAAGGTATAAAAGGCTCATGGATTTAAACCTACCTGGAGTAAATTACATTTTTAAAAAATAGCAGTCCCACTAATAGTGGGTGAGTAAAGGGTGCAGAAGCCCACCTCATCCCAGTGTATCCCAAGTAAAGCAACAGGGGCTAGCAACCTGGTATCCTACTTTTAAAAAGCTTTGATCCCAAGGTGTCATATTCTCTTTTAAAGCAGAAGGCCTCAGGACTTCGAAGTTGATGAATTCATTATGAACACATTAAAATGAGCTTATTTTATAATATGAAGGCTGTTTATTATATCACAACCCTAGCAGAAAGGAAAAACCAATACCCAATATCTACTCTAATGTCACAGGGATTTTCCCCAACTTTGAAGCTTTTCTGCCTTTTAGTCCTTCTGAAAGTTTACACTGAATTTTGTTGTGCTCTTACTAAATAAATAAATAATAAAAGGTTTCTTACAAACAATATTTCTCCCAACCTGCCTCATCTTATAAAGCTATTACTAATTGGACAATCACTCCCATCTAATTCAATCAATGCACAACACCAAAAATATTCAATAGTATTACTGTATGATTCCATTGCCCTGTGCTACTCGATACTGGGGACAGATGGAGTAACACATGGCAAAATGTGTCCTCGAGACATGGGCTGGTGGTAACAGAAGTGTCAGATGTTCCTGCTGGAGGAGACAGGAGGACAGGATTGGGAAAATAATTCGTACACAGTAGCCTGCAATAGTCAGATACTGACATTCCTTTTTAAAAACCATGATGAAGAAAGTGAAGAGAAATGATCACCACTACTTAATTCTACCATTTCATAATCACTTTCAGACTCACCTAAATCTTCTAAAACGCGTTTCCATCTATTTCTCACTTCCCTTCGAGTCTGTCGCAGGGTGTAGATGTCATAGTTGAGTTTTTGCCATTCCTGTAGGATAAAAATACAGTTTTATTTTTACTCTTTGACCTAAACCTCTAATTCCCAAACTTAAGCTGTTTAAGCATGTGTTTCCCCTCTTTGCTAACCTTTAAAGTGTATCTGAAAGAAAAGAAGATAAGAGTCGATGGGAAAACACTTCTGGAGAATCTGCTACAATACATAGCAGGAGATATGACACATTACATGAACGATCCTAATTAAACCCTTCAAATTACCTCGTGTCTCACCTCCAATGATCTCACCTGTAAAGTGGGGATAATGTGACTATCCCATTTAAGATTGTTATAAAGATTAAAGGTATATAAAAGCACAGTACATGCACACTGTAAGCACCAATAAAATCCATGTATCATTAAAGCCATTTTATAGATGAAGAAACTGAGACTCACAAAGTTAATTGGCTAATCCAATATCATCCAGCTAGTAAGTATCAGAACTGGTATTTGAATCCAGGCTTGACTCCAAAGTTCATGAGAAAAATGACAAAGAATTTGAGCCGTCCTTTATTATAGGGATAAAGTAGACCCAGGACTCCCATGTTTCTTGACTCCCAGACAATGTTTCCCTCACCATATCTCAGCATCACTTTCTTTCATTTATATTCCCATGATAGAATGAATCTTTCAAGCATTGGGCAGAACTATTATAAGATTATCATTCTGAAAACTTCAGTCTTATGGGTCATAGGATATCATGTTGACGCCAAAACAGAACCTGGATCCTTCAGAAGCATTAGGCCCTTTATTGAGCTAAGCATTTCTCTTCAATGTCACTGAAATTTGTTTTTAAGGAGCTTTATCTATGGAACAGTCATTTCATAAAATACACCCTGTTTTCTTAGCAAAGCCATGTAACTATCCTAAAACACAGCCTAAAAGAACGTCATTCTAAATTGCTCAATTTAAGACTCAAGTTCTATGATATCTTGACTCCTCTCACTGCAAATGTTTCAATGATGCTGTTATTTTCCTACCAAGCTCCTGTCAAGGTGTGTCTTGCTTATAGCCAATCAACTTTCGACTGGTTAAGAGAAATCAATTCAGCTGCCATTCAAAATGTTAAAGATACCACTTGGGAAAAGAAAACTAGCAAAATAAAGCGTGTTTTGCTATAACTGCATTTTAGATCTGTATCTGAAGGTATGCCAGTGTGAGGTCATGGGTCTCAGCTATTGCCTAGAAGTCAGGAAATGGGGAATTTGCGTGCTCTTTCCTGGTCCTCATTTATTCATTTATTCACTCATTCATTCATTCATTCACTCATTCATTTTTACCAAAGCATTGCGCACACATGCATGTGCAAGAGTGTAGTGACTGGGGTCAGGGATTAAGTCTGTAGCCCGAGAAGAGAGTAAGGTTATCTGAGTCATCTCAGAAATATGCAAAGAGACCTCACCTTTATCGTCATGTTAAAGGATACCTGTACAATGCCCCGGGCCTGTATAAGTCATGGGGGGGGGGGAACACTCAAGTACTGTCGTTTTCATTGGATGGACCTTACTGGACTAAATCGGCCGTTCAGCACTTAGCATCTCGGGAGCATTATTTATTAACAGCTGACTCTAGGCAAGTTCATAATCTCACTGGTCTCAAGGCCTCCTGTGCAGGACAGGGATAGTAATACTACCTACATCCTTGCTCACTGCGAGAATCAAACGAGCTAATGCACACCCAGAAAACGGAGTTCGGTGCACATTCTCCTTGAAATAGTGCGGACACAATAAAGAACACTCCCCCACCGCTCGGCATGGCTTCTGTTACGGGGACTGAGGACATTATACGTTGCAATGTGCGGTATCCCATTTGTGAGGACCCCCAGAAGAAAAACTTCTCTGCTCTTGGCATCAGGTAAAATTTTACTTGTCCTGAAAATTACTTCCTTTCTGGACATTGTGAATTTTGTAAGGGATCAGTTTCCACACTTACGAAAAAATGTTGTGTCATTTCATAAGAAACTTTAAAGGTATTTCAAATCATCAAAATTCTATTTTCTTCTAGTGTATGCTGTCTCACTGTATTTTCATATAAGTTGCAATAAACCCTTTTTTATAAATAGAAGAGTATAAATAAATTAAAAATATTTCACAGAGCAAAGTTGTGCATATCCTCAGTGACAATGACCCTCCTCCTTGCTGGATGGAATGAAACGTGGTCAGACACTCAGTCCTAGCGATTAAAAGCCCCACCCAACCAATCCGGAGATACTTTCGCAGAACCTTAAATTTTGTAACAAACCACTAGGTGGCTTCATTAACTTGCGATTAGAGGGAGGTCTCTGCTAATTTTCCTTTGAGCTTCTTAGGCTGCCTTAGACCTGTTCCCTCAACTAAGTGTAGCCAAACCTCTATTTTTAGGAGATTCGGTTATTATCCAGGTAATCCAGGCTTCAGACTTTTTTTTTTTTTTAATCTTTCTCTTTCTGCTGTCCATCTACCAGTTACTTTGCTATTCCTGAATACCAGCACTAAATGTTATACAAATTCATTCAGTAGCAGAGTTTGTGACTGATAGTGTTTGATGGAGAAGCATCAATATGACATTTACAAATCTGCTAAGGATGGACCCACACATGATAGATGCCTGTTCAGATCAGTGGAATGAAACGATGTATTTCCTATATCCATATTATTACTGTCTTCTAGTCATAGTTAATCATACGAAAGTATCTGGAAATTTTGTGCAAAATTTAAAGCTCTGATACCAGTAGAAACTTAGGTAGAGTTTTACGTAAGAATTGGGTTTTGGTAAAATAAATATAAGACGGGAATTTTAATTTCTTTTTAACACTGACCCCAAAGTACAGAACCTAAAGTGACAAATGAAAAATGGTGATGTATGAGATCTGTCCACAACTTAAGAAACTAACTCACCTATTTATTCCCTGGTACTAGAGAAAAATAAGCCTTGTGATGTCCTTCTACAATTTTGAAATTGTAACAATTAGTTTTTAGACAAATAATTTGAAAATAACAATTAAAGATCAGTTAACTATCCTTCACCAGTGAGCTGAAACTCAAATCTACAAGACATCAAAAGCAAAAATCTTATTTTCCAAAATAAACTTTTGTTTTTCTCATAATTTCTGAAATAATACATTGCGGCCAATGTGATGCTGTAGCCCAAAACTTTAACAATGAGTAAACTGTCAAAGGTGTAATAAAAGAGTGCAGAATTCATTTCACCAGCTACCTGGGAACCAGGACAAACTGAAAAACATGATTGAAAATGAATCGCTGAAGATGCTTCTAGCTGAATTCTTGAGGTTTTTCTCCTCTCTACTTGTTGACCAAATCAGATTAGGGCGGCCAGATAAGAAGGCTGAGGTAGCAACATGAAAGGCAGAACAAAACTCAATCTCCTGCAACCATCCACAGCTAGTTGTCCTCCAGCTTTGGATCCCAGGAGCTGGCTTTGACCTTGAGTTCTGGTTTAAGCTACCGGGATCATTTTCTCACGCACGCACACAATTAAAACTTTTTATACTTATCTAAACTATTTATTGTGAGGTTGTGGACAAATAGGCCAGTTAAAAAAATAATTCTTATTTCTTGCTAAAAAGGTGATTTATACAATTAAAGGAATGTACTCTAACAACAGATCCCATAAACATCTTAAACTCTTAGGAACAACTTCAAAAGAGAGAGATTTATTTTTTATGGCAAAAATAATATCACATAGAAATAAAAATTCAAAGAGAACAGAAGGTATAAAATGAAAACTAAAAGTTTCTTTCCATTGTCATTATTCCTCGGAGGCAGCCACGTCTGAACATCTCCTCTACCTCCTCTCCTCCCCTTCCTCTGGTAGCTTACACTACCAACTCTTCCAGTAGTATTATTTTAAACTTTCTTTGTACTGTTTGTTATGTACAAAGAGTAATTTAGCTCTGCCTCTTCTCTCTCTCTCTCCCTCCCCTCCCTCTCTCTCACTGCAAGGGAGGAAAAGTGGAAGAGCAGATTACTGGTAGTATTCATGATCTATCCCCTGGAGGCGACACCAAACTAAAGCTGGGTTCTGGTAGCAAGGAATAAAGAAGGGATAGGGACACTGGGGCGGCTAATACGTCTGCCACAAGTAAATATTTGATATTTGCTTCCCCAACATCTATATTCCTCTTCTCTCATCAATCTGGGTGTCAAATTCAGCTCGATTTTCCTTTGGGGGACGGTTACCCACATCTGAGCCCTCTGAGATTGAGGACCCCAGAGGAAAGGTCAGTGTTTTGGACTGGGCTGTGCTCGCCGGCAACGGAGCTGTGAAACTGCCCACGCTTTTCTGAAACTCCGCTTCAGGCGTCAGGGCTGAGAAAACCCTGGGACTTCCTCTGCTGACCCCCCTGGATGCCCCACCCCTCGCCTCAAAAAGAAACTATCCACATCATAGATCTTTCCTTGGAAAAGTCCCCGGAGAGGTTTCAGCCCTCTTCGTCTGCGCTTGCAACATCACAGGGTTACGAGAAGGCCTACTGCAGAGCCCAGGCCACATCCTGCACAGAACCCACGTGACAGTCATGGCTCACATGACGGCCTTCCTCTCCCCCAGCTCATCACGCGGCACCTCTGGGCAAACACCGAGCTTGAGCCTCATATGCCAAATCCAAGAGAAAAAGGGTTTTCCAAGGAACTAGTTCGCTCTTCTGAAGAGGAGAGCCGCTTTCACTGACGTCAGCAGCCCAGCCAGAAGCCCTTCCCTGAACCCTGGGGCTTCCTCAAGCGCCAGGCCACCCTCCACTCCCTTCGCTCCCACGTGGCTTAAGGGGAAGCCTCACTTCCCCCTCATCCCCTTCCTCGCCCGCCCAACAAGCAGCCCTTTCCAGATCCACTACGCAAGGGAAGCGCTAAGGGGCTTTCCCCACCTGCCTCCTGTCACTAGTGGCCGAATGGGGGTGTCCCGTGGTCCTTTCCGAAGGCCCTCGCCTTTTCTAAAGCACTACATCCTGACGGCCGTCCCCACGTCCAGGTTTCCGTGGGAAAGGGAACAAGGAGCGAG